TACTTTGAATGTTGGATAGGCAACATGGATAAAGAAAAAAAGGCATGAGAAAAACGTAGCTTTAGAAAAAATGAAAATGAAATATCTTATTTTTCCAAAAACTATATACTTATAGGACCTTTCGTCTCAAAATTTAAATAATTTCATCCACTAGTTTCATTTTTACAAAGAACTTTCAGGAGAGTTGCATACCTACTTACAATGGTAGTAGGTCATAGTCAAAGAATTAAACCTCTTAGCCTGGAGTAGTGTATATCTTTCATAACTCCCAAACAGCCTTGAGGTTGGTACAAATTAAACCTCTTAGCCTGGAGTGATATCTATCTTTCTTAATTATATTAAGCCTATTACATAGTTAGTCAAAAATCTGAAATCTGAGACTCGATTGACTCTAAACACTTGTAAGATTGAAGAAAGGATGAAGGGAGAAACACAAAACTTATCAGCAAAATGGAAATTCATCACTCAATGTGGTGAAAATGGAAAACGTTCAGGGTGAAATGATTTGATATAGAGGAAGACCCAAAATAAAAAATATATATATATATCTGTTAATAGTAGAAATGCAAGCAACAAACCGATGAGGAGGAAGATGCAGAAGAAAAGATATCCACTGATAGTAAAAATCCAAAAAACAATCAACCATATGTGGAAGAAGATATTGAAGAAAAAGATATTCACTTACAGTATAAATGAAAACAACAAACAATTTGATGTGGAGGAAGATGAAGAAGAGGATATGTACTTGTAGTAGAAATAAATACTTGTTTTTTTGTATCAAATTAAGGTCTTCACAACAGGAACTTACCTGAAATATGTTTCCAGGCCAATTATCACCATGGTAATGATTGCATTAGGTAACATTATTTGTACTTTCTGAATGTAGTTAACAAGGGATGATTCATCACTAGAGGGCCCACCATACTGATTCTGTTAATATACATCAAAGTTTCAACTTCTAATCCAGTTAATAATTCTTCAAAGATGACTCTAAACATCATAGGCACAACTTTTATTTTTTGATAAAATTATTGTTTAAATTTAGAAACCATTATGCTCTATCTGAAACCACATTGATAGGAAATTTTTTACGTGTATGTTAAAACTATATAGCACTCTGTATAGTAAAAAAAGAAAATAATTTCAAAAAGAAACAATGCAATCAGGCAAAATTCCCATCTCAAACAATTTTTCCTGTCAAGAATGAGCCAACAATAACAGCAAATTTTACAGCACGCAAGTTCATATTTCAATAATTACAATGTTTTGTGTCAGAGAATCGATTCATTAGGTAAGAGTTACATTAAAAAAACAAGTGGCTTTAATAACCTTATAAATATTCAAGAACTCCCCTTTATATTAACATTTTATCCACTTTACTAGAAAAGCTAATTTAACACCACCTACAAACCCATTCTCACCATCATGAGACTGTAATGTCCTTTCATACAAACCCATCCTCACTATCATGAGACTGTAATGTCCTTTCACCCGTCCTCACCATCATGAGACTAATGTCCCTTCATACAAACCAGTCCTCACTATCATGAGACTTTCAAATTCAACTGTTTTTTATGATGTTGTAATATCACGGGTCAAAACATTATAACTATTAACAGAACTTGTCTTTTGTAAAAGTTGCTGTTATTGTATTTTTGAACTAATTAAACTGACAAGTTTTAGGTATTTCTACTACCCGTGCATTTTCTTTTAGTTAAGAACTAAGTCCTTTTACCTAGATTTATCAGTAACATAACTCAAAACTAAGATACAGAAAGCAAAATATCATCAGATGTCAAACAAATACAATAATGGGTAGTTGTTAGTTAAATAGAAAAGCTTTAGCTTTCTGTCAAAATAATGTCATCATGATTAGTAAGAGAGGAAACACTGAAGTAGGCTTTCCTTATATTTTTATCTGCCATTAAAATTATTCATAATGGAAAAATGAACGATCAACTACAAAGAGTTTAAAATAAACTACAATGTTTATCTGTACATAATTAAAATTCTTTATAATTTACATCAGCTAATCTTTGTACTGTTACTGACATGACCTCCTGTGGTTAGCAAGTCATTCAAATAACGTAGTGTCATAACCTGTTATAAATGTAGAAAATATTATCCTTTTAGACTTGCAACTTATTACTGAGAATAATGAAGTATTATCAAAAGATGTAGAGTGGCTTCAATAAAGATTTGTTTAATCATATACCAATAAACAATTACTTATTTGATTTTAATCCAATAATGTGTAGCAATTATAGAGTGGGAGCCACTGATGGCTTCAATAAAGATTTGTTTAATCATATACTAATAAACATTTACATATTTGATTTTAATCCAATAATGTGTAGCTATTATGGAGTGGGGGCCACTGATGGCTTCAATAAAGATTTGTTTAATCATATATTAATAAACAGATACATATTTGATTTTAATCCAATAATGTGTAGCAATTATAGAGTGGGATCCACTGATGGCTTCAATAAAGGTATGTTTAATCATATACTAATAAACAGATACATATTTGATTTTAATCCAATAATGTGTAGCAATTATAGAGTGGGGGCCACTGATGGCTTCAATAAAGATTTGTTTAATCATATATTAATAAACAGATACATATTTGATTTTAATCCAATAATGTGTAGCAATTATAGAGTGGGGGCCACTGATGGCTTCAATAAAGATTTGTTTAATCATATACCAATAAACAATTACATACAGTTCACAGTGGCTTTGTTCACAAAAACAATATTAAACCTAAGCCATGCAGTAAGTCACAGTTCACAGTCACTTTGTTCATGAGAACAATATTAAACCTAAGCCATGCAGTAAGTCACAGTTCACAGTCACTTTGTTCATGAGAACAATATTAAACCTAAGCCATGCAGTAAGTCACAGTTCACAGTGGCTTTGTTCACAAGAACAATATTAAACCTAAGCCATG